ATAGAGCTGGGAAAAAGTAATAATAGAATTCATCTGGAGGAACAAAAGGTTAAGATTATCAAGGGAATCAATAAAAAAAGTGAAAAGAAGTGGCCTAGCAGTACCAGATCTCAAACTATACTATAAGGCAGTAATCATCAAACAATCTGGTACTAGGTAAGAAATAGAATAGTTGAACAATGGAACATATTCAGTACATAATACACACAAACAAATGACTACAGTAATCTAGTGCCTGATAAACCCAAACCTCCAAATCACTGGGGCAAGAACTCACTATTTGACAGAAACTGCTGGGAAATCTGGAAAACGGTCTGGCAGAAACTAGGCATAGACCAACATCTCACACCTTATACCAAGATAAACTCAAAATGGGTCCATGATTTAGATATAAAGGGTGATATCATAAGCAAAGTAGGGGAGCATGGAATAGTTTACCTGTCAGATGTATGAATAAGGAAAGATTTCATGACCAAATAAGAGATAGAGAGGATCATGGGAAGTTAAGTGGATAATTTTGATTACATTAAATTTAAAATTTATTGCATAAACAAAGCCAGTGCAATTAAAATTTGAAGGAAAGTATGAGACTGGGGAGGGGAGGGAAATTTTACTGCAGGTTTCTCTGATAAAGGTCTCATTTCTCAAATATATAGGAAACTGAATCAACTTTATAAAAATAAGAGGTATTCCCCAACTGATAAATGGTCAAAGGATAGAAACAGGCATTTTTCAGAAGAAATCAAAGCTGTCAATAGTCATATAAAAATATTTTAAATAACTAATAATTAGAGAAATGTAAATTAAGACAGCTCTGAGGTACCCATATCAGATTGACTAACAAGACAGAAAAGGAAAATGACAAATTCTGGATGAGGTGTGGAAAAATAGATAGTATGCTAATGTATCATTGGTGGGAGCTGTAAACTGGTCTAACCATGTCAGAAAACAGTTTGGAACTATGCCCAAAGGGCTATAAAATTTGACCCAGAAATGTTGCTACTAGTTTCGTACCCCAGCAAGATCAAAGGAAAAGAAAAATGACTCATATACAAAAATATAGCCGTTCTTTTTGTGGTGGCATAGAATTGGAAACTAAGGTGATGCTATCCACTGGAGAATGGTTGAGTAAGTTGTGGTATATGGTTGTGATGGAATACTATTGTATTATAAGAAATGATAAAAGGGATGGTTTCAGATAAACCTGGGAAGACATACAAACTGATGCAAAGTGAAGTGAGTAGAACTAGGAAAACACTGTACACATTAACAGCAATGTTGTAATGATAATTAACTGTGAAAGACTTGGCTACTCTGATCAATACAGTGATATATGACAATTCCAAAGGACTCATGATGAAAAATGTATATAAATGTGTATTTACACAAAGAGACCTGGTGAACTCTGAATGCAGATTAAATTATTTTTTTTTCCATTTCTTTTTTTTTTTCTTGTTTTTTGCAGCATGGCTTATGTGGAAATATGTTTTACGTGACTTCATGTGTATGATTGGTATTATATTTCTTGCCTTCTCAATGGGTAGGGGAGTTGGTGGGGGAATGGAGAGAATTTGGGACTGAAAAAAAATGAGATGCTTTATGATCCTGTCCATTCAGATTTCCCAAATGTTTCCTTTAGTCATAAAACCTAGTTAAATTATTTGTTTCTTTGTTCTTTTGTTTTGTACTGTATGAGGCTGTGCCTGTGGAAGGAGCATAACTTTTTCATCTCTTCTCCCAAAGTTTGATATTGTGCTCAGTAATGTAGTTAATCTATTGTTCTTCATACAGTAGTTTAAGATGCTGGTAGGACAGCCAGTTGTAAAATTTAATAAATTTAGTAAATCTGAAAGAATATGTGTATAATTTATTTCATTCTATGGCTTGTCATACTCTTGGCTTCTCCAAGATAACCAATATTACCTCTCTATCTTATAAGAGAACTTTCAGTGCTGACATAATGCGAATGAAGATCCAGAAAAAGGAGACCGAAAAGGAGTAGTCAGACAAGTAGTGGAGAACCAAAAGAGGGCAACATAATGAAATCCTAGAGAGAAGAGAATGACAAAGGGAACAGTGTGTGCTCAGGACAGTCGCAGTCCTCCAGGATCTTAAATTCTAATGGAGCCACAACATGTAAATAATAAACTAAATATATACATATATACACATAAAGGACACACATACATATATATGTTATATATATATATATATATATAGATTATATATGTATATATTTAAATGAGAGAGCATTTGAAAGAGGAAGGCCTAAGCAGATGGCATTAATAGGAAAAATTTCCTGGAGTAGATGGGATTTAAGCTGTCTTGAAGAAATCAGAAAAACTAAGAGTTAGGGGTAAGGGAGCCAAACATTCCAGGCACAGGCAGGGCTTTGCAGGGCTTGTGCGAGGGTGCAATAATGGGAGATGGAGAACCCATGTCTTTGTCTAAGCTTCATCCTGTACCTGGCAAGTGCTTCTTCCTCACCTTCCCTTT